CAGCCTATAGAACTCGAAATATTTTTTTACAATGAAACCGATTAGAGCGGACCAAAACTCAAAAATTTTTCAGAAGAAATAATCAGCCAAATTTGCGAGTGCGTTCAGTTCAATGGCATTGTTTATGTTCAGTGCCTCCAAAATGGCCAACTTTCTTTATTTGAAAGATATATATATATATATATATATATATATATATATATCTTTCAAATAAAGAAAGTCGGCCATATAGGGTGACCATATTTTGATTACCAAAAACCAGGACACTCGGCCTGGCAAACAGATGGGCCTACTCAAATGATACTCGAAGTTTACTCAAAGATACCTTATTAATTTCAATACATTTAAAGTAGGTTATGCCTCCTTTGTATGGATAGAAAATGGTTATATTGTTATATGAAAACAGGACATGTCCTTGGAAAACAGGACAGTTGGTCACCCTATATATATATATATATATATATATATATATATATATATGAAAGATTACAAATGCATATTATATATATATATATATATATATATATATATCTCGTTACATAGCCCCCCCTTTAAGGCGCGGATTCCAGACGCTTTAAACAAAACAAAGCACATGAGTTCAGGAGGGAGGTGGAGCAGAGGCGGACCTGGGGGCGGGATGGAGGGCCAGGCCCATGGAGTGGAAGAGGACCTGGAGACTGCGGTGGAGCAGGCTGTGGAAGCGACCAGGGCGGAGCAGGCTGTGCAGGCGGCCAGGGAGGAGCAGGCTGTGCAGGCGGCCAGGGAGGAGCAGGCTGTGCAGGCGGCCAGGGAGGAGCAGGCTGTGCAGGCGGCCAGGGCGGAGCAGGCTGTGCAGGCGGCCAGGGCGGAGCAGGCTGTGCAGGCGGCCAGGGCGGAGCAGGCTGTGCAGATGGCCAGGGCGGAGTGGAGCACTCGGGCGGCCTGGGCGGTAATGCCCTCTCAGGACCAGACACCAGCTCAGGAACCGACACTAGAACAGAAATGGTCACAAACACAGAAACAAACACAGGCTCGGGAGCAGACACTGGATCGGCCATCTTGTCCGGAGACATTGGGTCGGCCATCTTGTCCGGAGACACTGGGTTGGCCATCTTGTCCGGAGACACTGGGTCGGCCATCTTGTCCGGAGACACTGGGTCGGCCATCTTGTCCGGAGACACTGGCTTGGGAGGCGGCCATCTTGTCCTTAGACACTGGCTCGGAGGCAGTGACGTGAACAGTCTCTGGATTGGCAGAAGCAACGTGAGAAGTAACGTGAACAGTCTCTGAATCAGCCATCTTGTCCGTAGACACTGGCTCGGAGGTGGTGACGTGAACCATCTCTGGATTGGCAGAAGGAACGTGAACAGTCTCTGAAACGGCCATCTTGTCCATAGACACTGGCTCGGCAGAAGTGACGTGAAGCGTCTCTGGCTCAGCAGAAGCGACGTGAAGCGTCTCTGGCTCGGCAGAAGCGACGTGAAGCGTCTCTGGCTTGGCAGAAGCGACGTGAAGCGTCTCTGGTTCGGCAGAAGTGGCGTGAAGCGTCTCTGGCTCAGCAGAAGTGACGTGAAGTGTCTCTGGCTCGGCAGAAGTGACGTGAACAGGCTCAGACTCGGCAGGGCTGACATGGAACTTAAGCTCAGCAGTCTCGCGGGACGAGACTCTGGCTGGGCTGTCTCTGGCTGTGCGGTCTCTGGCTGTACGGTCTCTGGCTGTACGTGACGAGGCCCTGGAAGCTCTGCTGAGACGTGACGAGGCTCTGGAAGCTCTGGCTGGGCGTGGCGAGGCTCTGAAAGTTGGAACCCTGGAATGACGGTCTTCTTGGCCCTCCGAACTGACATCAGCGGCGGCTGTGTCACGGTGGACATCAGTCCTGGACACCCTAAACGGATGCCATGGCTGGCTTGACGTCTGAAGTGACGAGAAGATTCTCAGGCAGTGCGGTTGTGATAACCTCCTCCTCCACCTTCCCTACGGTGAAGGTGGATCCACAAAACTCCAGGACAAAGTCAATATACTGCGCCAGGGTCCAGCTGGGGTCTTCCTCTGGTAAATTTATCCTAATGTCCTGGTCTAGTCCACTCCAGAAACTTTCATCATCTTTCATCATTGAATCATCGCCGGGAACAAGATGACTATAAAAAAGAAACTCCTCCACATACTCCTCAATGATGCGATTGAACTGATAAATACTACACAATTCTCTCAGCGGGTCCTGAATGGTACCTGTTAAACTCATGTTGGTCAATGGTGCTGCTGGATCTCAGTGCGGCGAAGTCTTCTGTTATGAACTGCTCCGAGACGTAGAGATGAAGATCCAAATGCAGGTTTAATTTAAGAATAGTCGTACAGGCAGGGTCGAGAATCAGCAGACAGGACAATGGAGAATACACAGTGGGAATCCAAGAAACAGGCAGAGGTCAGGGCAGGCAGCAATAATCAGAATCCAAAAACAATCCAAAGTCAAAAACCAGCAAACAAACACGGAAACCGCTCAGAAATGCAGACACACAGTACAACAAGACTTCGCAGGGATTGAACAAATGAACCAGGTATATATAGACAGACAAACAGGATGATACACAGGTGAATGCTATCAGTGAATGAGGTACAGGTGAGTGTGATCAGTGAATATGAGTCCGAGCAGTGAGTTATGGGAAATGTAGTCTGAGAGTGATACAAGACTAATCTGGAGTGCCCTCTGGTGGGTATCAAGGGCACTCCAGCTGGTGACCGTTACAGGGATTTAAAGCTGTTCCCTTTTACTGGTGATTAACTTTTTAATTTTTACTTCATATAACGTTATAGCCTTTTTTGTTGGACACATATTTTACCATTGCATGTGTTTTAACAGCTAGATCATGTTGCTATGGACGTAGTTCTGTTCACTCCAATAATATAATAGTTTTTGAATGAATAAACTCCTTTTTAAATCAATATTTTGTGTCAAATTATTGATTTATTTGGTAGGTAGCCATGTTAAGTGGGAAAAAGTATAGCGAGGCGGTTGTTACAGCGAATACAACCCTTTCAGGCTGATTCAATCAAGACCCCTCCGCTTTAGAGTTTGCGGGGTTGTATTCACTATAACAACTGCCTGGCTATACATTATCCCTTTTACTTTATTTATTTATTTCTATGAGGACTGATAAGACAAAATAAGGACTGTCAAGTGTGTTTAAACAGTGCAGTACACCAGCACTATGATTTTTGCAACGCCGAAGCGGACCTTTCACTGATGTAATGACGCAATGTCTGGCACTTGCTAGCCTGTTCCATTTACGTGTTCTCCGAATGCTAAAGAGGACCCTTGCCTAGCCTCTGAAGGAAATGACTTGGAAGGACCCGTCCTGCCAAGGAAGTATCCTTGACATTGAGAAACATCTAGGAGGTGAGAAAAGCTTTATTTATACCGGCTTCCTCTTGAGTTGATTGGTTGATTACCTGAACATGCTCCTCCCGAACTTTGTTTACATAAAACTTCATTTTGTACAGACTTTTTATTTTGTCTTCTAAAATAAAAGTGGCCATTTACCATCTTGAGCAACACTGTTGAAGGGAATTTTCAGTAAAGGTTTTACGAGAAAAAATCTGTAAAATAAATAAAAAAAAATTCTATAAAAACTAATGATAATTTCTGTGAAATTATTGTTTTTGCATTTTATTTGGATTAAGATATTTTACTTTAATATTACAGTTTTTGTTTGGCAGCCACTGCTGTGAGTCATTTGACTTTTTTTGTGATTTTGTTTTTATAGAGTTTAAGCTCCATATGCTACTGTTATTCAGATGATATATCAGGCTCACATTTGTTTTATATATTTTTTTATATTTAGTCTAATTCAGTATATTTCTTCTGGTTCATTTTTTTTATTTTTTTTAAATGTAGGTTTAATTTTTAAATGTTTTTTTTTTTTTTCTTTAGTAAGTTTAATAGACTGACATACATAAAAACTATTACCATCAAGTTAAAATGCAATACAGGGAAACAATATATTTTAGTCATATTTTATTGGAAAATAATCTTTAAAAAAGAATAATGTCAGCAGAATTAATAAGTTTAAATACTAGTTACAATTAAATAATTACCAATTAACTACAATTAAATAATAATATTAAGTTAACTACTTTACTTCCACCTTTCTAAATCCTTGCACTATATCTTTATGCGCATTCAGTCACAGATGGAGGAGTTTCAGAGATGTATTTCTAGAGGTATGCACATGAACTTAAACCTGCATGTTTGCAATTCCCCAGTGAGCTGCGTGTTCAGGCACATGCAAAAACAGGACTGTTTCAGTCCTTTGCTCTCCATTGCCCACATTTCCCAAGTCACAGGTAAATATAAAGTATAGCTTGTTGCCTTGGGGACAGCCAAAAGTGTTGATGTTGTGAAACTCGTGTGTTTACAACCTTTACTCTTTAGTTTCTGCCCTGCCTATATTGTGCTTCATTATAGTATAAATTTGGAGATGGAAAGCTTGTGTGCGCAATGATCCACCATGGACACAGTATTGTATGCAACTACATATCTCCCACACAAGCACTTGTTGATGCTGTCTGAGGAGAATCTTATTCTCTTTCTGACAAGCTTGAGACACTCTGCTTTTCCATTACAGCACCCTACTTCAGCATCACCATAGTGACACTTTCAAGTAGGCTATCTAATTTGCCATGTAATTGTGCATTCTAAATAGGCACAGAGTTTTTGATTAATGATGTTCATCTTTAGTGAGGCCAGTTTCCCAATAGATTCTTGATGGAAAGAGTGTTGGCAGTAGACATATAGATAACGTTATAGGCTAAAGCCTAACTACTAGATAATAGCCTATATAATTTATCATATTCTCTGAAGAACTCTGAGAAAAACTGAGAGGTAGCCTACAGTCACCTTGAAAACACAGACATAATCAGATCTCAGACACGCACATGTTTCCAGATGTGTTATTGCTATATTCATTTTATTAATGCTATATTAATTAATATAATACAATGCTTCTCTTCTGGGTGATCCTTACCTCAAAAAGGTGTGGAATCTGTCGTTTGGAGAGGTAATCCTTCGCGTCGTTTGTGTTCATTCTTTCCGGTTATCCAGAACAGCGTAAGTCAGAAGAGCAGCAGCTGTGTCTTGTCTATCAGCTCATCTGTTGCGTTTAACCCTCAGAGCAGCTGTACTGTGTTGCACCATCGCATCGGGCAGTTCTCCGCTGCTTTGACGCCGATGACCTCGGGCGATGTGTTTCTATTCAACATTAGTCATTCTCATGAATGCTGAGCTCAATGTGACACTTAGCAACGCTGCGTAGTCGCGAGCAATGGTCTAATAATCGATATATCGAGTAGCATCTTTGTGGCTACCGCAATAAATAATAATAATAATAATAATAATAAAAAGTTTTATCAGATGACACAATAACATTTTGTTTGACTTTTTCTAATCTAATTTGTCAAAATATAGCAGGCCCAGCAGTTTTTTAAAGCTTGATTATTTAAAAATGAAAATCAAGTTTGTAATGTTGTTTAGGCTGTGACTGTCTATGTGGTGTTTTTAATATGCTACAAAACTTGCAAATTCATAAGTCAACAAAACTGTTGAGTATGTTCTTCTTAAAACTGTGCAGTAAAGAAAAGTCTCAAAAACCAATCACTTCAATGTATGAGCAGTCTTTTCATCATCATTAGGCCTATTATGAAGCGAAGCTGGGAGTTTAAGAGAAGCCATATTATCCTGGTATAATTTTCCATTGAAATAAAAAAATGTGAAGCATCTAGCAAGGCTGTTGCAGGTGCATTGTATATGATGCATTACGATGTTATGGTGAATATGACTTTCTCCACTGATGTTCCAAGTTGTTCAAAACATTTGTAAGGATACAGATTTTTAGAAGGCAGCTGTCTGACTCTGACATGGCAAACCGAAACATGGTTTGCATTAGCAATAGATTACCGGTATTAGCTGTTTGATAACATAGTCAAAGGCTAATAATCACCGTGTCCGACTTTAAAAAGAGTGACATCTTGCAGCGATTACCACAGTAAAGTTGACCACGTGAATTACTGAGTTGATTTGAGTGAGTGGAGGCAGGGCTAATATCCATATTCAAAATGAAGCAAAGTTGTATTTATATGCAAGCTATTTCAAGGGTTTGTTTACATGACACCAATTTCAACTAAAAGCGCAACACTTTTTATGTGTTCTCTGGCCGTTCATGTAGCCTACACGACAACGGCATTTTGGGTGCTTGAAAACGTAAACTTTCGAAAACAGGTTGATGATTTTGACAATTTCAAAAACTTCTACGTTTTAAGCATATCCTTGACGTCTAAATGTACCCTAAGGCATTAATAATTTTTTTTATGGGATACAATTAGTGTATTAAGGCATACAATTATTGACTACTGTGGGAATTTAAACAAAACAATGTTGTTAGGATAGGCGAAGTATGGGATAAGAGAAGTAGTAGGCTAAATCGAAATAAAGTGAAAATGAATGACATTGAGAAATCATCAAAGAATTTGTTTCCTCTACTGATTCTCTTGTTTAAATCGCGGGATTTACCTAAATCGAAGGAATCAATAGAGGGAACAAATTCTTTGTATAGACCATTTCAAAAGATGTAAACAACACTGGTCCAGAAGCACTTCCTGTTTCAGTTTTTTAACACTACATAAAAGCTGGGATAAAAAAACAACCAACAGAACATGTAAAACTGAATTAAAAAGTTAAACAAACATCTTTAAGATGTTTTCTTTAATGTGAAATAAAGAAAACGGTTACAAACTGAAACAGGAAGTGTTTCTGGACCAGTATTGTTTACATCTTGTGAAATGGTCTATAGGCTAAGTTGTAGCTTACTAAATCGTTGCCTAGGTTTGAATTAAATCGTGGCAACAATTAAATTTAATTATGGAACGATGTGCGAACAATTTGGCCACGAATGAAAGGGATAGTTCAAATATGTCAACGCTTTTGGGTTCTCCCGCAAATTTTTTAAGTCCCCCTACCCAGAAAAAAACCCCTTGCGTTCGCTCCCATAACTTTTGTGTTCTTTGTAAAAGAACGCAACGTTTCTCTGGGGAACGCAGAACTTATGCGAGAAAATGCAAAAGCATTGCCAAATAATGTATTTTTCTTCACCATGTCCCTTTAGGAGCTCTTTACCCTTGAGTTGTTCTAAACCTGTATGGGCTTCTTTCTTCTGTTGAGCACAAGATATTTTGAAGGATGTTGGTTACCAAACAGTTTTCAACTAAAAGCGTAACACTTTTTATGTGTTCTCTGGCCGTTCATGTAGCCTACACGACAACGGCGTTTTGGGTGCTTGAAAACGGAAACTTTTGAAAACAGGTTTCAAAGTGAAAGTTTACCCTCTTTACCCTCAAGTTGTTCTAAACCTGTATGAGTTTCTTTCTTCTGTTGGGCACAAGATATTTTTAAGAATTTTGGCTACCAAACAGTTGCTGACTTCCATAGTAGGCCTATATGTTTTTCTATAGAAGTTCATGGGGGCTAGTTACTGTACCAACATTGTTCAAAATATCTTCTTCTTTTGTGTTTAACAGAACAAAGAAACACAGACAGGTTTAGAACAACTCAAGGGTGTGTAAATGATGACAGAACATTTATGTTTGGGTGAACTATGCCTTTAAATAAAAAGATTTAACTAAGGGGAATAATTAATAAAATGAGGCCACAAATAATTATTTATTCTTTTCATGTGCAGAGCTCCGTACAAAACGACTGTTTACAAACAAGCTTCAAATGAAAATAAACCCACCCCAAACTCACAGGTTAGACTAATCTTATGTCTGCTCAAATAAACAGAATATGTTTTGTTTTGGTGTCACTAGTGGCACAGATTATCAATAATTCCTTAATTATTGTAATGGTACGATTTAGAATTTTTTACAATGTTTAAAGGAGAAACTTAATTCATTATGATTAGTAAAAATAACCAACCATACAAAATTTAAAGACATGCTGAAATCATACTGAAACATCATTTTTATTCCAATGAAACAAAAATCCATGTTAAACAGTGCACCTTGAAATGAGTCTATCCACTTTTCACAGACTATGCACCTTTTAATATTAAAGATGGATTTAGCCTGTCTCAAATATTCTAAAGGAAATCTATTACGATTAGTATTACTTATATTACTTAGCAGCAGAATTAGACCACCAAATGAACTGATACATGAGCCATATAACTTCAATATAACTGCTCCCATCTGTTGGGAATCAGTAAATTCATATTCAGTGTATGCTGAAACTCACTTTCCACTTGAGTTAAATGAACACACACCTGCTTGAGGATTATGTGCTGCCGTTGTTTGTCACACCGATTTATATTGTGTTGTGTGACAGTTAGTAATATTATCCTTAGAAAGCATCAGTGTGTTAATAATTTTCCATGGTGTTGTTTTACTCGAAATCTGCACAAACATTTTTTTGTGAAAGAACAATTATTGGAACATACAAACAGGTGAGTGTTTCCATTCCCTTTAATCACATCCTCAGGCCACATTTGGACTCACTGTGACCTTAGGGTAAATTGAATTTGACAGCAAAAATATGAAAAAATTCAACATCCTACTAATTAAAATAAATCTATATTACTTTCAACTAACCCCATCTGTGGAAGATCTCACAAAATGTGCAGCCAGCGAGTCAGAGTTTGCAGAAGAATTTTGTGGAAGTCACATCAGAAATGCCACAGTCTCTAGCTTGAGCCCTCAGAGGTTTTGGACTTATGATTTAAGTCTGTTTCATCCTTTTCATCAGAGTGAAAAGAAACCCGTTGCTCATCCATTCGTTTGGATTGCACTCTCTGAATTAGGCTGAAGAAGTCTTCATCTGGGTCTGGTGCTGGGGGCAAAGAGCACCTCTGATCATTGATTCTGGAGGACTGGAGGAGGGGAGAGGTGATACAGTTCACAACATGCAAACAGAGGAATTCTGAGGCATGTAAGTATAAACCACATTTGTACATCTTGTATTTGATATTGAATTTCAATTACTATCGTTACCTGATACTTTATGAGCATGTTGAAAAACTCGTCACTAGGTTCGTGTGAACTACATGCCTCACACAAGTGTTCCACATTGTTCTGTGCTATCCTGATACCCAGTCGGTCCCCTATACTGGCTCTCTGGTCATCCAGTCTGCGGCTCTGCGAACTGGCTATCAGGTCAAAGAACTCCTCTGTCTGGGTGAGTGAGATGAGGGAGGAGGCTCCTGACAGTAAAGGGGACTGAGGCATGGAGGACTGGGGCCCAGTCGAGGCCTCTTGGGCCTGGGCATTGGGCTGTTGAGGGAGCTGGCAGCGCCGGTTCTCCATGCCGCTGCTTCTGGGGTCTCTAAGCACAGTGAAAGGGCAGACCTCATTAGAGGTGACTGGGACTTACCCTTAAAAAGAACACAGAGCAAAAGATGAAACATTTAATGAAATCACTAAAGATCTCTTATTTTAAAGCACATGGTAACCAATCTCACAACACGACAAACTTGATCAAAATGTCAGTAACCTTTTTAGCCAGTGTGGTTAAATTTGAGGTTTACCCCAAATAATGTAAATATACACTAAAATTCTGTACTGAGATTATGAGACACGTGGCAACATGTATCAACTTTTTCTCCGTTTCTGAAGAATGTGTTCTCTAAAGTGTGAAATAGGTCAGGGATAATAACTTATTTTAACATGATGCATAAGCTGCAGTCCAGCAAAGTTGGAATGAGGAAACAATTTAAATTAAAAACAAATTTTATTTCACTTTGTTCCAGGTGTTGCACAAAAGAATACTACTAAATAGTTTAATCTAACAAATAAATAAATAAATTATAAAAAGTAACATAAAAAATATAACATGTAAACACATAGAACGATTTAGAAATGTTATTATAAGAGCAGTATTTAAACATGACATATTTCACATATGACAAAGTTTTAAAATGACTTACAGTTTTAGCCTTTTCAAAAAAATCCAAAACCAATAAAGTTCACAAAGGCGCTCTCTACAGGGACTTCATCTGAGAACAGCCATACACCAATTGACACCGCCTCAGGCACTGAATAATTTTCTTGGCAGACATGTCAAGCAGACCTTTCTCTCCCAAGATTGAAACGTACATGTAAATGAACAGCGTGCAAATCTTCTCTAACATAAAAAGAAAATAAATTCAAGAAAAAAATGCCTTATATTCCAGCAAGAATGAGGATGACTTCCCTATCTTCTACATCCAGGTTTCCAATATGCAGGGCTGTCTGTTTTTTCGAGGGGGAGAGGGAGAGAAAGGGAGAGTGAGGGGGAGAGATAGAGTGAAATGGGGCGCAGTTGCCCCTCTCCGCTTACATCATGGTTGCTATAGGAACTGGAAATCGGCTTCCAAATCTCGCTACTGTTGTTCACTCAAACACAGACATATGCACACCAACAAAAACACACACTGTCTGGTGCACACACACACACACACAAATACGAACACACACACACACGCACACATACACACACTGGCTTGCATTCCTGCATTGTTGAGTTCCATTCATTGCCTCCTGGGGGATCAGTTGCCTCTCTCTTTCCACAGTCAGGAAAACTCGAGCACAATTATACCAGGATACAGTGGCCAAGATTACTGATGTATCTGTCATTTTCATGTCTTTGTTTCAAGCGATGCTGAGCCACTGTCAGCAGAACACAAGGAGGAGGGGTTGCTTGGAAGCTACCATAAGGAGGAGGCAATAACCAAAGATTCTGGGATAAACCAATGCAACATAATGTTGCCTGGGGCCCTTCGCCTGAAATGAATGGATGAATTCCACTCTATTCAGAATTCCCCAAGGGGATAGAGCAGTCTTTCTTGGGATTCCCTACAGTCCAGCACCATGTGCCAGCCAGCAGGCAGCTACAAGAACAAGTGCAGATCATCACTGCTCACTACTATACTACTCACTACTATCACTGCTCACTACTATAATATATATATATATATATATATATATATATATATATATATATATATATATATATATCTTGTTTAACAGACAGGGCTTAAATTAAGCTGGATTAGGGGGCTTGGTTCAATTAGGACACTTAAGGTGCTTTTATAAACATACCTTAGAAAAAAAAAATTCCCTTCAAGGGAAAAAGTACAAAATTCCCTTCCACACTTATGCACAAGTCAAACTTGTTCAGACTTGTCTGGTGAATGTGCAGAAAGTTTCATTTCGGCAGCATCCAGTTGCAGAGTTATATGGAGTTTGCTGGCTTTGTTCATTGCTTAAAAGTCTGTTTTTCCTTGTGTGGTATTGCTCTGCATTAAAGATGCCAAACCAAATGTATGTGAATATCCACGCAAACCTGTCTATGCCTTGGAATGGTATGCCTAAGAAACTTTTAGATCGGCCACACTCACTCTGGAGTAGCAGCAGTTCTTTCTAACTGAAGAATTAAGCCAGTTGAATTGCCATCCATCCAACCGTCTAGATCAGATGAGTTGCCAACCATCCAAATACGTTTCTAGACATTAGCTCTGCTTTGGCTACATCCAGAGATTACTACGAGGGAAAACAATGTGCCAGGTCCATGTCCAAGTCGTAACCGTCAGGTGCCTACTTACTTGGAGGATTATGTTGTTCATTAGCCAGCTCTCCGGCATAGTCATCCTTCACCAGCAGATGGTGCTCAAGGAAATATCTCATGTAAACCTATTAGGTACTATATGGACTAGTTGCACCACAACGGAAATGGAATTTCCGGTTTGTCTATGGTAGGCTGGAACACTTCCGGTCACTGTCCGTCAATGACACTCGCTTACTTAACCGACCGTTCAGCGTAGTGTAAAAGAAAAACACGAGTCTTTTCGGTATTAAAAAAGCAGGTGTTGTACCGAATTCCGACTCGCGGACAAATCGCACGCCCGCGTGCGCGCGCCTTTCATTAATACACGCTGAAGCGAGTTGAATGCACTTCATTTGCCATATGCGTTTATCGATTGATTTTTTTTCTCACAGCAAGCACCCAGATCCTGCATGAAAGCTTTGCACTTACAAAAATTAACAGACAGTGAACTAGTGTGGATAAAAAATGCAAACAAACAAAAACGCATGGGAGATCGATTCAAACTATAAACTTCCACGGGTAAAGGCAAGCCATAATAAAGCAGCCATAATAAAGCTACCGCCTGTCAAAACACAACATTACTGTTAATTTAACAGAACGTAACTTTTGTGTGTAAAACACCCTGTGGTTCATAGGAAAATAGTGTATTATTCTCCCCATTACACATGAATGTCATTAAAAATAATATTTAACCTTTTTAATGAAGATAGGCTTAGTTTATAAAACACATGTCTGTATATTGAGGCTAATATAGACTATAGCCTATATGAGGCAAATACCAGTTTTTATGTTTGTTTTGTTTTTGCTTAATTGCATCTTAAAAATAGAAATAAAACAAATTATAATTGATAATTATAATAATGTGATCATTGAATAAAGCTAAGGATGAAAAGAAACCAGACTTTTTTAATATAGTTATTTTCTGGCACATTAGGACCACAAAAACATGATTTATTTAATTCATTCTTTCAATTTCACATTTTGCATCCTAGCTGAGAACGTTCTCAGAACTTTGGCTAACATTCCCTACAAGTTTGGTTTAAACTTGTAAAGCCATAAGGTACTGTTTTACAGAAAACATTTGAATGTAATGTTGAAATAATGTTTTAAGGATGTTTTAACTGTAATATTTTGAGTATGTTTTGGGAATGTTGCTGAGATAACACATTATACAATATTCTTTTTGGGGGAAAAAAACAAACAAAAAAAAAAAACTACCCGCTGAAAACATTAGAACAGAACAAAATTTTAAGAAAAATTCCAGCTGGGATTGCTTATGGAAATACATTGTTTTGTGTTCAGGTGCCCTTTTTTGAGGAAAACCTGCTGCAATATTACAAAAATGCATGCATAATAATTTGTTTATAATATCTTCATGAAAAAGGTTATTATTATTTTTAATGACATTGTTGTGCAATGGGGAGAGTAATACAATATTTTACTATGAACCACATCGTGTTTAACACGCAAAAGTTATGTTCAATTAAATTATTTGAAATTAACAGTAATGTTTTGACAGCTGGTAGCTTTATTATGGTAGCTTTACCCGTGAAAGTTTATAGTCTGAATCGATCTCCCATGCGTTTTTGTTTGTTTGCATTTTTTTATCCACAGTTCACTGTCTGTCAATTTGTGTTAGTGTAGACAAAGCTTTCATGCAGGATGTGGGTGCTTGCTGTGAGAAAAAAATCAATGGATAAACGCATATGGCAAATCAAGTGCATTCAAACTCGATTCAGCGTGTATTAGGTAATGAGAGGCGCGCGCACGCGAAGGGGCGTGCGATTTGTCCGCGAGTCGGAATTCGGTACACCTGCTGTTTTAATACCGAAAAGACTCGTGTTTTTCTTTTACACTACGCTGAACGGTCGGTTAAGTAAGCGAGTGCCATTGACGGACAGTGACCGGAAGTGTTCCAGCCTACCATAGACAAACCGGAAATTCCATTTCCGTTGTGGTGCAACTAGCGAATTACTCCTGCTCCAAGGGACAGAAACTTTGAAATGAAAAGCTACATCAGAGGCCCGGTAAAGAGATTTAAGCAGTGAGATGAGAGAGTGCTAGAGAGGATCCTTTTGCATCTATATTTCCTGGTTATGGACACTAAGAGTCTTCCTTAGATTGAAATAAGTAACACTGAATTAGAACCCTCTGTGACTGTAGCATCATCCCCACAATATGAGGAAAAACTTTACCACGGGTCCTCTATGCAGCAGCAGCAGCAGCAACCGCAACCAATCAACCGCAATCAACCGCAACCTCAGAGGCCTTGCTGAAGTCTGACGATCAGACTCACATTCTCCTTTGAGGTATCTATCCTGTGACACCTAAGTGTAAAACATCAACACCTCAGGGACATTCCCTAGCTAGAGTTCGCTAAAGTGCAGCAAACCTTTGCTACTCATTGTTTCAGATTATCCTCAGGTGATCACACCAAACTGCGCAATCTGTATAGGTCCGCTTGGCAGGCCTATAGCGTTACATACACTGCTTGTCTGTACAATTTAAAGGGCACCTATTATGCCCCTTTTTACAAGATGTAATATTGGTCTCGGTTGTCCCCAGAATGTATTTGTGAAGTTTCAGCTCAAAATACCCCACAGTTAATTTATTATAACCATTTGAAAATGTCATTTTGGGGCCTGTTTGAAAATGAGCTGTTTTGAGGCATGCCACTTTAATGCAAATGAGCTGCATATTCCCGCCCTGCCTTTGGATGAGGGCGTAACTTGAAACCTATGGCTATGGCAGTTGGTCTAAGCAGAAGGGGAGAGTGTCATTCAGCGTACGTTTGAATCGGAATATATAAATAGCACAAAGAGACTCCGGCAGAATAAACACAAATGAGAATGGACCAGTATGTCTCGGTATGGTTATTTGATACATTTATGTACTTACAGAGTTGTAATCGCGTCCTCTTTGCAAGTATGGAGGAGCAACAAACACACACAGACACACAAACACTAACGCTGGCGCATTTTTTTAAAACTAACGTTACATACACATGCTGTGATAAAGTTTGCTACGTAACTTACAAGCGAAATTACATTTATGCAGGGACCTGTGGCATCATGTTTAGCTACTTGTCATACAGGTGCTTCTGTGGCAAATGTGAGAAGATGGCTAACTTACAGAACAGGAACATATATGCGGTTTTTAATACAATATCTTTAAATATATATATTTATAAACGTGTGGTTACACACTATACAAACAAGGTTTAAATTATATACACTGACATTCTACGACGACAACAACTTTAGACGCTTTTGTTGTTGAATTGGCTGACATCAACTGAAAAGACTATTTGCTCAAAAATCATAAAATACACTTACTGTTACTGGAGGTGACGGTGGATCGCAAACAGTAGACGACTATCCACACGGATTAACTTTTAAGCCACAACAACAGGATTAACCCACGAGTCGATAAGTTATGTTTCCAAGAGACATTACCGGCTGTCGTTGAAACAATGGAGGATGGTGTACAGATCACCGAGGGCGGGGTTTATGCCACAACCACACTGTCAATCAAACTCCTTTCTCACTTTCTACATCACAAAGAGCTCTCAGAACAGCTCGTTCTGAGACAGTGCATATGATTTATTGAGATTGTAAAAAAACCACTGGGTGGATTTTTATCATTCTAGGGTGGTTTTTCTCACACACTGCCAACACACATTTATGTTCAAACACCATGTAAAAGTGAATTTTCCATAATAGGTGCCCTTTA